CAACTAAACCGAAAAAACTAATTTGAAGACAGGGGTAAATTGGTGATTTCGCTTGTAAGTGGATAGGATAACACTGCGATTTATTCTCCGTCAAGCTCCAAAGTTTCGAGCTTTACCGCGAATCCAAGACTTGGACCTTTGCAATGGGTTTGGTAGTAAGGTAAAGGTGTTTTCTTTTGAGCCTCTTTTGAAAATAAAAGTTGCTTATGGAGAAAATATAACTTTTAAAAATCAAATTGTAGTTCATAGATATAGTTGGTTTAAATTTTCATGTGATCTTTCTCTGTAGTTGATTACAATTAAAGTAATCAATTAGTATGAGATTAAATGATTTGTTATTTGTTATGGTCGATTTAGGTATGTACCTCTCAAGTGTTTCTACTAAGTTTCCTCTATTAGTACAGTAACTATTCCATCAAGAGCAAGAAATAGAGAGTCTGGGAGAGAGAAGAGTCTGTTTTGGTCTTCTTCTTCATCATCTTCGTCCATTGTGTTTACTCAGTTCTCCTGTGGGATAAAACCATAATAAGATGTGTCTGAAATCTTCAGAGCCACCACCATTCCCAGACACTCACACACCAACCATGAGATCATCTTCGTACCATAACAAACGTAAATCTAAGACACAAACCCATCTTCGTATCCTTAAGCTCACCAGGTTTAGTTTCATCTTCCGTATATATCAAGCTTCTGAAGATGCAGCTTCTGAAGGAGTTCCTGAACTAAGTCAAGATACCTCACGAAGTTACTCAAGAGAACAGAGCAACATGAACAAGATTAAGGAAATATGCAGAATCTTGTTATGGCGGTTTGAAGCGAAGACTAGAAGCTTAGAGAAGACTCTAGAAGACTGAAGAGTTTCCTTTTGCAAGAAGAAAAGGAAAACATGAAGACAAAGGACAATTTCCTATTCCATAAAGAAAAAGGAAATTGTCCATTCCAATTAGTTTTAGAATTGGAAATTGACCTGTTGTATGGTCTCAACCTATTTAGTATAAATAAGAGTGCTAAGGCTAGCAGAAAGCTGAGCACAATCACGAGAGAGAAATCCTAGCTATTAAGTCTTAGTTTGAGAAGATAGAGAACTAGAGACTTAAAGAGAGCTAAGGTTGTTTTAGAAAGAGATCTTGTTCTTAATCAAGGTGTGATTGAAGAACAAGTCTTTGAGAGAGATAGAAAATAGGTTAGGGAAAAACCTTGTAAACATATTTTCTATTAATCGAAAGAGAGTTTTTTGAGAAATCCTGAGTTACATCGTGAACTAATTCAACTCTTAATAGCTCTTGCGTTTTCAGCTTCCTCAGACACATTTAGCTTTCTGAATTATAACCGCTTCTTTCTTTTTCTTTGGAAACAGGAGGAGAAGATTACTGAAGGAACAGAAGGAGATGGAGATGAGAAACTTGAAGCTTTAATTTGGTAGAGAATCAAAGCATCATGCGAGAGAATGAAGCTTTAAAAAAGAAAGCTCTTCTTCTCCACCAAGAAAACAATGCTCTGTTTGCTCTGCTTCATCCAAAACCCTCCCCTGTTTCCACTTCCTTCCTTTAGTGATCTTCGTGAATCTTGTTTCTTGATTACGTTTCTTCTCGTCTTCTTCTTTTTCTTTTCCCACCTTTAATGGGTACTAAAATAAAATAAATAAATCAAACTAATGATTTATGGCTGATTTACTTTTCTATCAAAGTTTTGATTAGGTTTTTTTTCATGTACCAAGTATTATTAACATACTGAGAGGAGTGTTAGGGTTTAATTAATGGCGAACTAAAATTAAATTAAATTTAGTTAGTGTCGTCTCTTCGTCTTACAATTATTACACGTATACTCATATACCCTGTTCTAAAAATCGGCCGCCTAGGCGCTGATCGGTTGGGGACCGCGGCGATTTTGTCCAAATCGGTAAAAAAAATCGGTGATCCGATTTTTGTCCGCCTAGGCGTCCGCCTAGCCCGCCTAGACGGCGCCTAGCCCAATTTTTTTTTTTTTTTTTACATTTTTTTTTCTTTTTTTTGGATCTAAAATTCAAAACGTCCCACTTATGTTCATAATTTATATAAAATTCATAAGTTTGACCTTAAATTCTTGTTTTCATGTGTTTAATACAATTTTAAAAACAAAATTATATAAATTTATTATTTATAATGGATTAATATGTTTTTAAAATATTAAATAGCTTTAAAACTAGTCCCCGATTAATCCCCGTTTAATCTCCGATTTTCTTGCTAGGCGCTAGGCCCACCCTCACCGCCCGACTAGCGCCTAGCGATTTTTTAAACAAGGCTCATATAGATATTTATCATAAATTATGTTTTTGTAAACAATAAATTACATTTATTGAAAATTAAATTTTGATGGTTTAGTAATTAAAGGAAACTTGAATCTCAAACACGTGTGTGTTTATAAATAGTCTCATCGTTTTAGTATCATCGATCATCATTCATCACAAAACAAACCAGAGAAAGATAGAGAGAGAGTTATTTAGTGAGAAAGATGCAATTTCATTCTTTTATTTTTTCGATTCTATTCTTCGATTTCTGCTTCCACGATTGATTAGTTGTTTTGTCGTTACTCTTCGCCAACAAGACCAGAAAGAGAGATAATCGTGATGGATGATGATACAGATTCTTCTTCGATTAGAATCGTTCCAGAAAAATAAAGCCGTTTGCTATGAAAACGATCAAGTCTAGTGAGAGATCTCATAAGCATTACGTCTTGATAAATCTACCGGAGATTTTGAGAGGACTTCGCGGTGATAGAAACGGCAATTGACGACGGAGATGGCGATAGAGAGGGAAGATCGAGGAGGTTGATTGATCGGAGATCATAGGGTTTTGTTTTCAGTCACGGTGGTGGAGAAACTAACGGTTGGATTGCGATCTTCAAAATCAAAACCCTACGAAGCCCAACACAAGAAAAGGAAATCCAGCCCATGAAAGTCCATCGGATTATTAGTCAGGTCAATTTCTATCTCATCTTAATATTTAGTTATGTTTTAATTGGTTTTTAAAAATTATTAAAAACTTAAAAATTAATAATAAACTTAATAACTAAAAACAAACTAAGTGTTAAATTTAAAAACGTTGAAAACAAGTTCGACTTAGCATCCCGTCCTTTTGGTCCGTAAGTCTTGCGGTGTCATAAGTTTAACATATTTTCACGTAATGAAAATTTAACACTTAGTTATGTTTTAAACGGTTTTCAAAAATAATATTTTAAATATATATTTTTAAAAAACTTAATAACTAAAAGTAAACATAATAACTAAAAACAAAACAAAATTTAAGTATTCTTAGTATTCGATTATTAGTCAGGTCAATTTCTATCCCATCTTAATATTCATTTTAAGTAATCTTTTTCATTTCTAACTAAATTTTTTTACTGTTGATTCTGAAAATCACACAATGAATTTGTTTAAAGGGGAAAACAAATTCAATTAACTCTCTAGCAAATTATGATCAAAGATTCGAATGAAAGGGTGAATTTTATTGCTTAGAGACAACGCTAGGGTTTAGCTCAAGAACAATTAGGGTTTTTTGTGCAAAAGTTGCGGATCCCTTGAATAGAGGACAAACCCCTCTATTTATACATATTTTAGGGCGGTTTAGAGATATGTTAATCTTCTAAATCTTCAAGGCTTTATCTTCTGATTTTTCTTTCTTTTCGGGATTCTCGTTTTTCTTCGAGGAAAATCTCCTTTTTCTTGAATGAGGAAATCGGTCGCAGGCGATTTTCCGTCTTTGAATCGAGCTCGCCTGGCGTTCTCCTTCTTCAGCCCATTAACAGGCTAAACCGGGATTAGATTGAATTCCCAATTTGATTCGTAATTCATTTGGTTTAAGCCGGTATTATCGGAGGTGCTAATTCCTGCACCAACAATTAGTCCCCCCCCAGTTCGGGAAATCTGAATGCTTTAATTCGAAATTTCCAAATTAGGGAAATGAATATTCGGCTTATACCTTAGGAAAGTGCGAATTAAATGCGAGATCACTTTGTATCGTTTCGAATTTTCGGACTCTTCAGTTTCCGAATTCCACGAACCTGTTAAAACGTCAAGCAGTGACACGTGTCGGAGGAAAACTGAAGAGTCCAGTAGGCCTAATGATTACTTTATCTAGGTCCGCCGCCCACTTTTGTCTACTTATTCTCAATGAAACTCTTCCGTGTTCCATTTCGAGCCGCTTGGGAAAGAGAAAACCAAGGTAGTTCTTATTCTTACTCCTTCCTCTCTGCTTGTAATTCTCCGTTTGTTTTCGCACTTTATTTTTATTCCGATAATGGGTAAGTCCACTGAAGCTTTCGACTCCTTCGACAGTGCCGCCACCACGCTGGTCCGTTGTAATTCTCGTTTCGTCCGAAACCCAGGAAACGAAGCTGAATTAAGCCGGAGTAGCCAGATCAAAATTCTCGAATTGATTGACGCATCGGACAGAGTTGGTAATGGTGGTAACTCAGCGGTGTATCAGGATGACCCGACAGTTGGTTACGGTCGGTTTGGAGGTCTGATCGATCTTATGGAGGAGCCCTCAAATCGCCCTGTATATACCAAGGCTGAAGTCGAGGCGAAATTAATTCCTCTTGGTGTCCTTACTCGCGACCTTTCGCCAGTGGTGGATTGGAACAGAGGGATTGTTGGGGTCCCCACCCGTTCAACCGCGGAGTCAGTAACCAGGATGTTAAATTCATGTGGTTAGGTGAACTGCAGGATTTCATTCGTAATCCCCAGACCAATTGATCGCCCATGGAATCCCCCTAAGGGTTATATTTGCTTGTACGAGGCGTACTTCAAGCAATGTCACCTCTGGTTTCCAATCCCGACCCTGCTCATCGCATTCGTTCATCGCCGTCGTCTGGCGATCTCTTAGTTGACTCATGCGGCGATTTGTAATTTCGTCGGAATTCTTACTTTTGGCGCGGAGGGAGGCTACCGGATAAACCCTCGCTGCATTGAGGAGATGACAATTTTGAAAGCCGGTAAATCTCTGGGCACCTGGGTTGTAAACAACCGGCGAGGCCACAAATTTATGCCTGGAGATAAAGTCAGCAACTTCAAGAACTGGGAACGCCATTATTTCTTTGTTCGTTCCGACCTCAAATCTTCCAAGCTCCCGCTCTCTGGCCGAAAGAGGATGTGGAATAAGGATCCGGGTAGACCTCTGAGCAGCTGGTCGTGTCGAAATGTTCACCTATGACTCTTATACTTAGAATTTGTTGTTTCCTTTTCAGATCGCCACAAACCCAGCCGAGAGTTTCCTGCCAAATACGAGGAAATCAGGTCGGCCATCTTCCGTGTGCAGAACCAAACTTGGAAGGACATCACTAGGGAGAGAGTCGCCCGCATAATGGGAAGAGTAAAGAGGAATTTTGTTAGTTTTGCAGCGCGTCTGCGAGGTTCACCGCTTCCTCTGCCTCATGCCCCGGAGGGTGGTCCTTCAGCCTGGGATCCTATAAATACTTTAGCTCTGGAGTTGCCTGAGGTAACCGGCGGTTCAGCCGAAGGCGATCTTGCTCCAGTAGAGACCGAGATCGCTGGGCATACTGAAGATCGGACCAAAGCCGGTACACCGGAGGTCACTAGTTCGACCGCCAACCCCCAGGCCGATGTACCTGAAATCATACAGGTCGACGTCGACCTAACCGTCCCTGGATCAACCGGGGACGCCCCTCCTGTAGAGGAGGCAACTGCCCTGGAGCAGAAGACCAAGTCCCAAGAGGACAAAGGAAAGGGTATCGAGATTGGCGAGAAAAGGAATGCTTCTAAGGCTGGTCTGCCTGACGACGGCCCTCCTCGAAAAACCTTCTGCTTGTTGAGAGATGACCCAGATCATCCCGACCGATTCTCCTTCCAGTACTAGGAGATAAATACATGATGAGGGATCAGGAGCCCACCAGCCATCTCTGGTGTAACATGGCCGTTCCTGGAGCGCGGGCGATCTCCGATCCGGATGAGCTAATCTTCAGTGCTGCGTACAAGAAGTTTGCTCGCTTCTCCTTCGAGGTATTATTATTTTTTACTCCATTGTTTCATCCATATAGACTCTTTCTCTAAGTTGCAATCAGGCTTACATTGTGACCTCTCTACTTCAGACCAACGCGCTGGCTAACGACCTGTTCGGTTGGTGTGACCGGAAACTTAAGCTGAAGTACGGGGACAGGGACCGTTTTATGTTACTGAGCTCGGTCTTTGAGCAAGAGAAGCGCAACCATGAGGAGCTAAAAAAGAAGTATGATCTCCTGAAGGCGGAGTCTGAAACCCATTCAGCCGAAGTCGCCTCTCTTAAAGATGAAGTTGCCAAGCTCGTTAAGCGGGAGGCTGAACTTGCGGAGGAGGTCACCAGGCTTGGGAATAGGGAGGTCTCGCTTATGGGGGAAGTCTCCAAATTGGAAGCTAATGTGGCTTTCTCTAGGGACCACGATGAGAGGGAGCTGAACAGGTTGCGGAATGACCGATTCGCCAAGGTCAGCCGCACTACTCAGAAGGCTGAGGCTCGCCTTGACAAGGTCAAGAGTTATATTAAGGAGCATGAGCATGTTGTCCAGCCCAGAATGGATGCCATGAACCAGTCCAAAGGTGCTCAGGAGATCGTGACAGTCCTTATCAGCCGAGGTGCTGTCGTTTCGGAGGTCGAGCTGGAGAATCTGGCTAAAAAAGCCAAGATTGCCGAAGAGGAGGTTGATGCTCTGAATGTTATTAAGCTCTCAGATGTTGATCTCAACATGTCTCCTGATCAGCTCGGCTTTGGGCTTACTCGGCTAGACTCTCAGGTCATTCCTGTATCAAATCAGCATGGTTCGAACTCCGAACTTGTTAGCCGAAGCGACATTCGACGTGTCACCGTCGAGGAGCAAAATCTTGAAGATTAGCGAGCTTCACTCCCTTTTATCTTGTAGTTTTGTTGTATTTTTTGAACTTATTTCAACCGTGGACCCATTTTTGGGGCGGTTTTCGAACCTGACTTCGCCGTGGACCCTTTTTTGGGGCGGCTTTTAATTTCACTTCGCCGTGGACCCTTCTTTTGGGGCGGCTTTTAATTTTAATTTTATTTGCACATTTAATGCTTGGTCAAGGATTTCTTTTTCCTTCGATCGAAGCGAAACAGGAAATATTGATATTAACGTTTTCCTTTTTGGAAAAGGAAAATGGGACATTTTTCAATGTTTCTTCGGGAAAGATGACAGAATTAAATCACCTTGTTGAAAAGAGGAATCCGGTTTTCCTTTTCTCTTTTAGGAAAGGAAAGCGAAATTAACTCCTCGTTAGATGGGGAGTCAATCTCACGGGTATAAATATCGCCCTTCGGGTATTGTTGATATCATCAAGAATTCAAAACTTTCTTTTCTTTGTTTAAAGAATGGAGAGCTCTGGTTCCTCCTTCGAGGTTAATCACAATGTTCCAACCTTCTCCAATGTTGAGGCGATTGAGCGGGGGATTCCTTTTTTTCAATAACATTCGTGTTCCATGGACCCTTTTGTTTTAGTTGAATCTGGAATCGAGGCGACAGGCAGAAAGATTTCTTTCATGCGTCGAGGGTCGTCATAAAAAGTACCGTGATCTGTTGATCTTTCACGAGGATCGCCAATCCGAGCTTTTGTATAAGCTAAGTTTGTTGGAGTCTCATCCACGAGATTGGTTAAAGAACGGCTTCCAACGGTTAGCCCATATGCCAGATGCTCTTGTATCTTACTGCCAAGATTGCGCACAGGCTGCTTGTTCTGTTTTGAGGGCAAGGGAGCCAGGTCTCGTCGCAGACGGGGATTTCATTCCGAGTTCGCCTACGATGTTCTACCTTGGTCCATCGGTTTCTAAGGCTGAATCAACCGAGTCGCAGAATTTTGTCAACCTGGTAAGAATCGTTGATCCGCGATTAGTTAATCTTCAGATCTGTGTTCTTGAATCTTCAGATCGGACTCGAGCATCAAGATCAGTGCCGCGAATTTCAATATTTTCGAATCAAGAAGCGTAAGGTGGACGACCGCTTAGAAGAGCTTGAAGCTGAAGTTGCCAAATTGAGAGCTAAGCGGAATAAGGTCCTTATTCGTCTAGACGAGATTGAGAAAACAACGAGGGCTTTGGAGATTGGCTCAGAGGATTGGGAGAAGGTCGGTCTTCAACTGGTGTGGCCTATGCCAGATCGTCTTCTAAGGGATAACCGACATGTTACTGGTCAGACGAGCTGAAGCTTATATGTCCTTTGTTCGACTAGATTAGCTTTCCGATGTTTTTTGTTTTTATCTTTTTGAATAAGACATCATTGTAATGGCGATTACCTTGATTATCAAGTTTATGATTTTTCTTTTAAATAGAGCACCATTGTATTTGGCGATGATTTTGCTTGTCAAGTTTATGATCTTTGAATAAAAATGTTCTGAGATGGCGCAATTTTTATATCAAGTTTTATGATTTGCAATTTTTTGTTTTTATCGGAGTAATTCAATTTTGATTCTCATGCGACCCTTGAGATCGGCTTTTCGGGTGGATTAGTCTTTCACGAGATCGTCCCAAATTTTTTCTGTCTAAGTTCGGGTTAGATGTTTAATGCGAGACTGAGCTCGGCTTTAAAAATAAGGTATTTGGCATGTACTGGGCACGAGACGTCTCTCAGCTTATGCCCAGTAGTCCTATGTCTGATTTAAAGAGGGAGTTCTGGACTCTGTTTCAAAATAAGTGAGGCGGACTCAGCATATTATTTGGGGGGCGAGATGCTGGGCTCGGCTTACTCCCCGTAGAGCATCTGTTCGGCAGACCGCGAAATACGGTTCGGCTTATATTTCTGTCCAAACCAGAGCTTAAGTGCGAGAAACTGGTCTCGGCTATCCTTTCTAGAAAAATTAAGTTGCTAGAAGGGCGTGGATTATTTCACCACTGCATCCATGTGAGACGCGCATCGAACACCTGGCCAGGGCGCTGAGAATTGATCTTTGGCGATCTTAAAGCGAATTCCGTTTTGAGAATGCAAACTTTAATTTTATTAAGTATTATAGATGCATCCTTTCGAAGGATTTCCTACGTACCCAATAAAGGGATCAAGCCATTCGTAGTTCAAGTTACATAAGTTGAGATCAGATGACCGATCTTGCCTTTTTTTTTTTTTCGTACTTAGTAGTAGTACTTTTTCAGGTGGACTGCGTTCCATGGATTCTGGATTTCCTTAAGGTTCATGGTCATGAGCTGGTAGACTCCGGGATGGACCACTTTTGAGATTAAGTAGGGTCCTTCCCAGCGAGCTCCGAGCTTCCCAGCGTTTTCCTCCTTCGTGTTGTGGAAGACTTCGCGAAGGACGAGGTCGCCTACATTAAAGCGGCGTTCTTTGACATTCTGATTGTAGTATTTCGCAGCCACGTTCTGATAATTCTGAATCCGAACTAAGGCTTGGTCTCGAAGTTCTTCGGCGAAGTCATTGTGATGTCAAAGTAGCCGGTTGTTAAGTGCAGGATCCTCTGTCATCATACACCTTCACAAGGCCGGACAGCCAGCTTCGCTTGGGGCCATTGCTTCGACTCCGTAGGCTAAAGAAAACGGAGACTGTCCGGATGGTCGCCGTGGAGTGGTTCGATATGACCAGAGCACACAATCCAATTCGGCAGTCCAGTTTCCCTTTTTTGGGCCAAGTCATTTCTTGATTCCTGCTACGATTGTTTTGTTCGTGGCTTCAGCTTGTCCGTTGCCTTGAGGGTATCTCGGCGTCGAGTTGGTGAGGTGGATGTTCCATTTGGAGAGAAATCGCCTTGTGATAAGTGAGACGAACTTGGGTCCATTGTCTGTTACAATCTCGTAAGGTAGACCGTGCCGACATATGATGTTTTTCCATATAAATGCGACGACCTGAGGCGACTTGACTTCGTGGTATGCTTCCGCTTCAACCCACTTGGTGAAGTAGTCTGTTAGAACCAGCAAGAATTTCTCAGACCGTGAAGGAGGCATTGGTCCTACAATGTCCATGGCCCATCGCATGAATGTGTATGGTGCTGTAACTGTGCTCAGCAGTTCTAGGGAGACGTTCTTCATTGGCCCGTGCCTTTGACATGATTCGCACTTCGCCGCGTAGGCCTCGCAGTCCGCCATCATGGTTGGCCAGTAACGCACATCTTTTTTTATTTTAAGGGCTAGAGCTCGTCCGCCGAATGATTGCCTCCGTCTCCGTCGTGAGTTTCTTCTATGATCATTGCAGCTTCCTTTGCGTTTACGCATGTGAGTAGTGTCTTAGTTGCGCTGCGACGATACAGTTCGCCATCATGGAGGATATAGTTAGCAGCCTTGGTTTTGAGACGTCTTGCTTCCCAACGATCTGCGGGTACTTCGCCATCTGCTATGTAGAGTTTGATGGGATCTCTCCAATCGGTCGGCTCTGGGTCTACTTCAATATTCGGATCATCGTCGATCTCTATAGCTTCCGGGGGTTCGGTGATTACGCAGATCGGAGGTGGAAGATCGATGCTTGGTGTGGCTATGTTCTCCACGCGAATGGTACACCTCAGATTTGGATCTGTATTTGAAGCTAAGGCGGCTAGAGCGTCCGCTGAGATATTATCGCTTTGGGGTATTTTTGTAAGCTCGAAGTTGTCGAACTGTTTGGTTAGATCTTGAACCAAGGTGAGATAGGCCCGCATCCGCTCGTTCTTGGCTTCGAATTCATCACTAAACTGACTTACCATGCACTAGCTGTGAATCGCTGAAAGCTTTGATTCGCTTAGTTCCGATTCCTTTTGCAAGGCGCAATCCTGCTATCAAGGCTTCGTATTCCGTTTCATTGTTGGAGGCTTTGAATTGGAGTCGGAGTGATTGCTCGAGTACTTCTCCGGTGGGAGATTGGAGTAAAATACCTAGTCCGGATCCTTGTGATGATGAGGAACCGTCTGCGTAGAGTATCCAGTTCTCCTCAGGGACTTCATCAATTACATCCGGAGAGAGTTCTGTCATGAAGTCAGCCAGTACTTGTGACTTGAGACTTGGCTTTGATCGATACTCTATGTCGTATTCACTGAGTTCGATTGCCCATTTCTATGGCTGGTCGGTATAGACCACTACGAAATGCGATTGGAAATATGGTCGAAGCTTTCGAGCAGCTGTTACGACCGCTAATGCTAGTTTTTCCAGCGTGGGATACCTTGTTTCAGCGTCATTTAGGGCTTTGCTGGTGTAGAAGATCGGTTTTTCGTTGCCGCGATCGTTCCTTACCAATACCCCACTCACCGCCGAACTTGACACCGGAACGTACAAGTATAGCGTTTCTCCTTCTTCCGGCTTAGCTAAGATCGCCCCACTCGTCAGATATTCTTTGAGTTCTTGGAAGGCGAGCTCTCACTTGTCGTCCCAGTGGAAATCCTTGTTTCCGTGGAGGAGTTTATAGAAAGGGAGACACCTATCGGTTGATCTGGCGATAAAGTGATTGAGAGCTGCAATGCAACCTGTAAGGCGCTGGACCTAGCTCCCTTTTGTTTTGCGGAGAAGGAAGTTCGAGTATCGCGTTGATCTGCTTCGGGTTCGCCTCGATCCCCCTCTCAGTGACTATGTAACCCAGGAATTCTCCAGAAGTTACGCGTAATAGGCACTTGGTAGGATTCAGCTTCATTCGATATTTGTCCAGAATATCAAAGCATTCGCTGAGGTGCTAGATGTGATCGCCAGCTTGCAGTGATTTCACCAGCATGTCATCGATGTAGACTTCCATCGTGACTCCCAGCTGTTCGGCGAACATCTGATTGACCAGACGTTGATAGGTTGCTCCCGCATTCTTGAGCCCAAAAGGCATCACTCGATAGCAGTAGGTTCCGCGATCGGTGATGAAGGCGGTCTTTTTGCAGTCGTCCTTATGCATCAAGATCTGATTATACCCGATACTGCTTTAGGAAAGCGGTGGATAACTGGGTGAAGTTATCGATTGAGTTCGCCTCTAGCTTGGAAAACCATGTTAGGGCGTTTCCCGTGAGTCCTTCTACGAACAATTGGCAGTAGCCGATATCACGTTGTTCATCAGAGAAGTGAGCTTTGGCGATCGTGGTCATGAAGGAAGTCATGAAGTGTTTTGGGTCACTTCCTCCCTCATACGTAGGATCTTAAGTTTAACTTGAGGGATTTTCGTGCGAGTGATCCAACAGTGAAAGGAGTCTTCTGCGTCTCGGCGATCATGCGGTCGATCTCGGGAGCCAAGCTGACAGCTTGATGGACTTGAGATCCGATCTCCCGTAGTCGGGCGTAGATATCCTCCAGATGCCCTCCTTGGTCTAGGGCTGAGGATCCAGGGACGAAGTTCCCCGGTGCTTGAGGGTGCAGCTGTTGCTCGTTACGAATGTCTGGCTGGTGCGAGCTCTGGGGCATCCTGGTGAACCGATTTGATTGTGCGTCGGTAAAATCGAAGCTGGGCGCGAGAGTTCGCGGGATGATTGGTCTTGATGGTGTCACCTCAGAGTTAGACTGTTGCTGAATTCCACGAGCTAGATCATCCAGCCTCCGGTTGGTTTCGATGATGGAATCCGCTAAGTCTTTAGTTGTGATTGCGAAGATCGCTTTGAGGTCGTCCACAGAGACCGTAGGTGCTGCAACGGCGGCGGGATTCGGCTCTTGGACGCGTTGGTCCTCCGATTCTTTGGCACGTTGCTCTTCTTCGGTTGAGCGAGAGCCGTCTCCATTAGGGGGATCCATCATACCGGTGTTTTGCGGCAAGGAGCCACTGTTTTGCGGTAAAACGGAACCGTCGATTTCTTGAACCATGTTTTCTGGTGAAAGATTTCGATCAAGAACAGAGTTTTTAAGAGTTTGTATATGTCGTTCCCACTGGCGGCGCCAATTGTTGATTCTGAAAATCACACAATGAATTTGTTTAAAGGGGGAAAACAAATTCAATTAACTCTCTAGCAAATTCTGATCAAAGATTCGAATGAAAGGGTGAATTTTATTGCTTAGAGACAACGCTAGGGTTTAGCTCAAGAACAATTAGGGTTTTTTGTGCAAAAGTTGCGGGTCCCTTGAATAGAGGACAAACTCCTCTATTTATACATATTTTAGGGCGGTTTAGAGATATGTTAATTTTCTAAATCTTCAAAGATTTATCTTCTGATTTTTCTTTCTTTTCGGGATTCTCCTTTTTCTTCGAGGAAAATCTCCTTTTTCTTGAATGAGGAAATCGGTGGCAGGCGATTTCCCGTCTTTGAATCGAGCTCGCCTGGCGATCTCCTTCTTCAGCCCATTAACAGGCTTAACCGGGATTTTCCGGTTTAGATTGAATTCCCAATTTGATTCGTAATTCATTCGGTTTAAGCCGGTATTGTCGGAGGTGCTAATTCCTGCACCAACATTTACTATACAAACTATTATTATTAAAAAAAAATGTTTTTTCAAACTTAAGTGTTAAGTTTACAATACATTGAAAACAAACCGGATTTAGCATCCCGTCCTTTGGTCCGTAAGTCTTGTGGTGTCATAAATTTAACCCGTTTTCACGTATTGTAAATTTAACATTTAAGGTTTTACACAAATAATATTTTAACTTTTTACTTTTAACTAAAAATTTTTACTATATATATACAAACTATTTTTATCAAAAAATGTTTTTAAACTTAAGTGTTAGTGGATGCCTCCTTGACCCATTGATTGACCAAGAGTTAATTAATGCTTCTACACCAAGAGGTCTGGAGTTCGAGTCCTAGATACTGCGATTTATTAGGAGATCTCCAGCGATGTACAGTTATAGCCGTTCGCCAGAATTCTATGCCGAGAGAGAAGTGTTGTCAGGTCGTAGACTATTGAAAGTGTCCGTCAAGAGCATGAAGAAGGAAGTATCGTCTGCCTTGGATCTAATAAGGGTCGGAAGGAATTGTCCGTTGTAGAATCGTATATGTAACAGTTCTCATAATTTGCAATAAATAATAAATCTAGAGAAAAAAAAATTAAGTGTTAAATTTACAATACGTGAAAACAAAACGGATTTAGCATCCCGTCCTTTGCTCTGTAAGTCTCGTGGTGTCATAAATTCAATCCGTTTTCACGTATTGTAAATTTAACACTTAAGTTTTTCACAAATAATATATATATTTTTTTTTAACTAAAACTTTTTACTATAAATATACAAACTAAGAATCCGAACCAAACCAAATCTGTTGTTCATCAATTTGAAACCGAATTACCTAAACCGAAAATGTCACATTCAAACCAACTAAACCGAAAAACTAATTTGAAGACAGGGGTAAATTGGTAATTTTGCTAGTAAGTGGATAGGATAACACTGCGATTTAGTCTCCGTCGAGCTCCAAAGTTTTGAGCTTAGAGCTCTCTCAGGCGAAAACAATGGCGTCTTCTTCAGCCACGCTCTCTCTCTGCTCTACTTTCTCTGCTCATTGCAATGTAACTTCACGCCGTTCGAGTACTATCCTTTGTTCTCTCTCTAAACCTTCGCTTAATTTGGCTAAACCTGTGTCTGGGTTTCTTTCTCCTTCCACTGCGTCGACGTCTCGAACCGCATTCACCGTCGCTCCTAAATTCGCTGAATCAGTCGTCGAAGCTGAACCGGAAACTACCGATATCGAAGCTGTGGTGGTTTCCGATGTTTCGGAGGTTACTGAGGAGAAAGCTAAACGAGAAGAGATTTTCGCTGTTGTTATGGTGAGTTTGTTGAATCAAATGAAAGAACAAATTCTCAATTTCGGTTTTAGCTTTCGGAATTTGGAACTAGGTTTGGTTGATTTGATGAGTTTGCTTTTAGAGTTTTGATAATGAGAGACTGTGTTTTGTATCATATACTCTTAAGAATTAGGTTTAGGTTTAGCTTCAGAATAAAACGAAGAGCAATTTTCAATTTTGATTTAATCTTTGGCATTTGCAACTAGTTTTGGTTGATTTGGATGAGATTCATTTGAATTCATTTTGGTTGATTCAGAGTGTGATCATGAGAGACTGTGTTTTGTGGTATATTCTCTTATTAGTTAGTGTTTAGGCATTACGAATGTTGAAGAGTTTGGCTTTCTTATGAATGTTGCTTCTCTCATTTGCTATTTTTGATTTAGTTTAGTGTTGTTCTTTTTGGTTGAATAGGTTGGTGGACGCCAATACATAGTGTTTCCAGGGAGATATCTCTACACTCAGAGACTGAAAGATGCAAATGTCGATGACCAGGTATATCCACATTTCCTTTCAATGATTTGAATTCTTCATTGTAAAATTTCGGTGAAACGAAATGATATATCTAGAAAGGGATGGTGTCACTATGGAAGACTGAGTAAACTTTGTGGCTTGTGTAGAAGTTCTATTTTTCTTTGTCTATGTTAACATTGTGTTAAGCTGTTCTCTGTTACTTTTTTGGTGATTCCTGAAGTTTTCATATTTGCTTCTTCTCTTGATCAGATTGTTCTCAACAAAGTGTTGCTTGTTGGAACAAAGACACACACTTACATTGGCAAACCGGTTGTGACCAATGCCACTGTACATGCTGTAGTGGAAAATCAGGTAAAACAATACAGATGCTTTCTTATATTCTTATTGGTGTTTTGTGTTGGATAACTGCAATGTTTTTATTTGCTACAGGGTCTGAATGACAAAGTGGTAGTCTTCAAGTACAAGCCTAAGAAGAAATACCGTAGAAATATTGGTCACCGACAGGTATATATCCACTGTTGATAAATCCAGCTTCTGTTCCTTGAAATCGAACTATGTAGTGTTATAATCCACACCACAGACTGCTATCAATTAGTTGTCATAATTTGCTGTGCTGATAATTTGTTCTCATATGATTTCTGTCTTGATATTTTAGCCAAATACGAGGATTAGGATTACAGGAATCACGGGGTATGAAGAGTATCCAGCGGCGCCCAATGTTGCGGTTTAAATGTGTTGAGAAGTATAGGATCTTTGACACAAAATGTTTCTTGAATGTTAAAATTTTCTGATCTTCTCTATGTAATTTTGTAAGGACCAGATCATTTCATTTCTTCTGAGATCCCTTTTATTAATATGTACCTGCTTTTGCCATTCTTTGATCACAAATTCTAAGTTAGTGTAAGAAAACTTCATCATTGCTCGCTCATCCATTCATCTAGGCTTACTGATGAAATTTATAGAATAGATTTTATTGAGTTGTGTGTTGATATGGAAACAACTTCCAACACATTTGTCGCTGGTTTTTCACTTCAGTGTGTGTTTTTTTGTAGTCGCACAAATGTGTCGTTGCGATTCGAAAAGTGGGCTGGAATTCAGGTTTCAGGTTTTGATAGTCTGCTCTACTTGTTTCGTAAGATGCATTCTGGTGATTTTAGGATGATGAATTGAGATATTTGAGATGTTTTGTGGTGACTTTCGGATGAAGAATTGAGAAATGAGGTTTTTTAGATTATGCAAAAGATAGTCACCAATGGCTAGTTTGTTGTGTACCAAGATTGAGAAGGTTATACATGTTGGGTTGTATTTGTTTTCTCACCTTTGTGGTTGATTAGGTCCGAGTTTTGATTTCCTAGTTTGCAATGTTTTTTTTTTTTTTTTTAAGTTTAGTGCGACAAAACCCCTTTACCAAAAATAAAGAAAAACACAAGATCTAGGTTAAGACAATTTATAAATAACTAAATACTGACTTATTAATTATTTAAAAATATATGCTCTAAAGTATATTTCATTTAGTTTATAAGATTCCAATTTGTTCATAGATTTCTTTTCTAACTTAAATTTCAGAAATTGCATAATATTTCCCATCTCTTTCTTATCTTTTTAATTATAATATTAGTCTTCAATGTAATGTTATTAAAGTAGACTTTTAAAATCTGAGAAACTATTGAACATGCATGATTCTTATTAAAAAAAAAAATTTAGCCCCTTTCTTTTTTATAAACTTTTTTTTACCAGCCAGTTGGCCAATGAAAATCTGATAAATTTTGCAAGCTTGCTACTATTTTCTAATTAATTTTACCTAAATTTATTTAAATTTCATTAAAAAATAATAAATGCTATACTACTAATGGTTATATCTAACTCACCAAAAAAATTATTGGTTATATCTAAAGTATTACTGTTTATGTGTAGAAGATTTTTTTTTAAAGCATGTAGCTAAAATTTAAAAGCAGAGATCATATCATCAATAAAAGATATTATTAATAGTGATGATAATAATGAAGCCATTTATTAGTTATATTTTCTAAAACTATATAAGTTCCGAGCTCCTTTCATTTGATTCCAATACAATTCATACTAACATCTTCCAAGTAAACAATTATTATTTATCTATTTTTAACAAATTTTCCATTATATTTTACAACACCATCATACTAACAACAATCATCATGTTGTTCCATTTCGTGCATAGGGAAATAGTTTGGTGAGTTACTGTAAAAATGTCGGTGAAGGCTAAAGCAATGCAGCGAATTGCGAAAGAATTCAGGGACATGTCCTCCCCAGCTTCTTTGTACAGTATTGGTTAGTACTTCTTTTTATTTTTATTTTCTGCATTATCAAAACAAATAATATCCACATTTCTAAATCTAACGATTTTGCTAGTGTCATTTTTGTCAATAAACGTTAGAAACTTGACTATCTAGTGTATGTATGTACCATACTAATATTTTCAGTTGTAAATACAAGTCCACAACCATACAAATAAGTAGATTATTATAATTTTATTTTTGGTGTTAAGTATAACAATACTATTTGTTGATGATATGTATCACTACAGGTAGAGACGACTCAAACAATGTATTCAAATGGAATGCGATGATTCAAGGACCCCAAGGTACTCCTTATGCCGGTGGCATGTTTAGCATCGACATTGAGTTTCCTGAAGATTATCCTTTTAAACCACCCAAGGTTGGTTACCTATTACAAATTTGAATTTCAAAGGTTAATTTTGTTGTTTACAAAAATAAATATGTTTTATGGTTTATTTTTTAACAGTTTACATTCAAAACTCCGATTTATCATCCAAATATCAATTCCAGAGGATCGATTTGTCTTGACATTCTTAAAGACAAGTGGACTCCTTCTCTCACTGTTGAAAAGGTTCAAAAACTTGATTCATAAATCAAATATTTTGTTTATTTTGTTCTTTCTCATTCTATTCATTGTTTTCGAATTGTTTTAACAGGTGCTCTTGTCCATAACTGTACTGTTGGCGGATCCAAACCCAGATGATCCTCTTGTACCTGAAATTGGAGAACTTTACAAGAATAACAGATTCCAATTTGACCAGAGAGCTCGGGAATTCACCGAGCGACATGCTTTTCTTTGAAGTTTGTCATATCTTTTTAATAATCATCAACTGCTTCCGGATATATGTTATAAATTAAAGTCACATTCTTGGTTCTCCTCGAAATGAATTATAAATATTTGAATAAAAACATGAATTGAATATGCCATGCATAGCATAACATTGAATCAGTGCTGTTTTCTCTTTGAGTAACAAAACCAATACAATGAAGTATTTGTCTCCTTCCGTCTTAAATTAATTACTAATGTTTTATAGTTTTGTATTTGTTTCACAAAAAATATTTTTAAAACAAATAATTTATTATCTACTATGTGTAAATACATCTAGAACGAAACATAATTTGAAGTAAGGAAGTTTATAAGAAGTATCAAACCATTACTATAAGTTCTTTTGTTGGACTTTTAAATATGCTTAACTTTTGTATAGCTAAAATTTTTATGGATCCGTGTTTCTAACAAAATGCATCATTACTTAGAACGAAAATTATATTTTGGTCAAACGGACAAAAATTGTAAATTTCAAATGTCTTTCCAATAAACATCAAAATTAAGAAGCATAGTTTTTCCAAAAAAAAAGATCAATTTTGAATAACACTAGAATTAATACGAAATATTTAAAAAATTTAATCGAATAACACCAAAACTTTTAAAAATTTAAAGCATGATGTACAAATATCATATTTAATAACACTAGATTTTAATGCATAATTTATAATAAATAATTGAATAATATCGGATTGTGTATAAATTTAAATTTTATTACATGATTGAACAATACCCCTTAAACACCGTTATCATTCACCCATAAAAATTGAAATCTTACACAATTTGAGCTATTAAAATCCTCAAAAAAGCTGAAGATTGTTACAAAAGAGCTTGACTATGAAAACGTATACTTCAAAATAATAAACTTTCGAATACGACTACGTTAGATTTATCTCTTTCCATGAAAAAAAAAAACAATAGTTAATGAGTACCATTCAATCTAATTTTGTCTATAACCAATCCATGTTTTATCATACCCTAGTCGTCACAGACTCACAAGTCTTCTCGACCAATAAATCCAATATTATCCATTCACTAGTATCTTCCAAAACACAATGACTTCCAAAACACAACGACCAACAATATTCATTCACTCAACAAAGAATGTTCAACGAAGAACCCGTAAGCACTTTTCTATGCATGGTTTCGTAATTTCACAGAGTAAACAGCCAAAATAAGTAATTCGAACCCACTGCGGGGTTAGTCCTTCATTATCAAGGAGACGACCCCAAGTCAAACACTGAGTGCAAACGAGGATTATTAAATAGCCAGAACTTGGATAGCTTTCTCTAACACCAAGAGAGAAAGAGAAGAGAGAGTGAGAGAGTAAGTAAGGATGGGTTTTGCAGAGAAGAATTCTTATGATATTCGTTTTCTTTTGTTCATATCCATAATTTTGAGCTGTTCTATTTCAGCTTCTGCAACTATCGCAGAAGCAAATGCTCTTCTGAAATGGAAATCCACTTTCACGAACCAGAGTCACTCATCAAAGCTGTCTTCATGGGTCAATGATGCTAACACCAATACTAGCTTTTCCTGCACCAGTTGGTATGGTGTTTCCTGCAACTCACGAGGGAGTCTCGAAAAGTTAAACCTCACTGACAACGCTATAGAAGGTACTTTCCAAGATTTCCCCTTCTCTTCTCTCCCAAACCTTGCTTACATTGATTTTAGCATGAACCGTTTCTCTGGAACCATCCCTCCTCAATTCGGAAACCTCTCTAAACTCATCTACTTTGACCTCTCCACAAACCACTTAACTAGAGAAATCCCACCTGAGCTTGGCAATTTGCAAAACCTCAAAACCCTCTATCTTTCTAATAACAAACTTGCCGGTTCAATTCCTTCTTCCTTAGGGAAACTCAAGAACTTGACGGTTCTTTATCTTCATCACAATTATCTAACTCGTGTCATTCCCCCGGAACTAGGCAACATGGAATCCATGACAGATTTATCGTTAGATAACAACAAACTTACCGGTTCAATTCCTTCTTCCTTAGGAAATCTCAAGAACTTGACGGTTCTTTATCTTCACCAGAATTACCTAACTGGTGACATTCCCCCAGAACTAGGCAATATGGAATCCATGACAGATTTAGCATTAAGTGAGAACAAACTTACCGGTTCAATTCCTTCTTCCTTAGGAAATCTCAAGAACTTGACGGATGTTTATCTTTACCAGAATTATCTAACTGGTGTCATTCCCCCAGAACTAGGAAACATGGAATCCATGACAAAATTAGAGTTACGTAACAACAAACTTGCCGGTTCAATTCCTTCTTCCTTAGGAAATCTCAAGAACTTGACGGTTCTTTATCTTGACCAGAATTATCTAACTGGTGACATTCCCCTAGAACTAGGCAACATAGAATCCATGACAGATTTAGCTTTAAGTCAAAACAAACTTACCGGATCAATTCCTTCTTCCTTAGGAAATCTCAAGAATTTGACGGTTCTTTATCTTCACCAGAATTATCTAACTGGTGTCATTCCCCCGGAACTAGGTAACATGGAATCTATGACAGATTTATCGTTAAGTCAGAACAAACTTACCAGTTCAATTCCTTCTTCCTTAGGAAATCTCAAGAACTTGATAGTTCTCTATCTTTACCAGAATTATCTAACTGGTGTCATTCCCCCGGAACTAGGCAAGATGGAATCCATGATCAGTTTAGATTTAAGTAAGAACAAACTTACCGGTTCAATCCCTTCTTCCATAGGAAATCTCAAGAACTTGACGGTTCTTTATCTTTACCAGAATAATCTAACTGGTGACATTCCCCCAGAACTAGGCAACATGGAATCCATGACAGATTTAGAATTAAGTCAGAACAAACTTACTGGATCAATTCCTTCTTCCTTAGGAAATCTCAAGGACTTAACGGTTCTTTATCTTGACCAGAATTATCTAACTGGTGTCATTCCCCCCGAACTAGGCAACATGGAATCCATGATCAGTTTAGATTTAAGTGAAAACAAACTTACTGGTTCAATTCCTGATTCCTTTTGTAACTTTACCAAGCTGGGATCGTTGTTCCTCCGTGATAACCAGCTCTCTGGTCAGATTCCATTGGGAGTTACAAACTCCTCAGAGCTAACTGCTTTTATAATCGACAGAAACAACTTCAATGGTTTCTTGCCTGAAACCCTTTGCAAAGGTGGCAAGCTTCAAATTATCACTTTAGATGATAATCACCTCGAAGGTCCTATCCCAAAAAGCTTGAGAGATTGTGAGAGCTTGATCAGAGCAAGATTCATAGGGAACAGATTCATTGGAGATATTTCTGAAGCTTTTGGGGTTTACCCAGATCTCAATTTCATTGATCTCAGCCGCAATAAATTCCACGGTGAGATTTCAGGCAACTGGGAGAAGAGTCGAAAGCTAGGTGCCTTGATCATGTCAAACAATAGCATCACGGGTGCTATCCCACCTGAGATTTGGATCATGAAACAACTGGGCGAGCTAGATCTATCTACCAACAACCTCTCTGGTGAAATTCCAGAAGCAATTGGAAATCTCACGAATTTGTCGAGGCTACGACTTAATGGGAATCAGTTATCTGGAAGAGTTCCTGCAGGAATAAGTTTCTTAACCAATCTTGAGTCTCTTGACTTATCCTCAAACAGATTCAGCTCCCAGATCGCACAAACCTTCGACTCCTTTTTAAAGCTTCATGACATGAACCTGAGCAGAAACAATTTCGATGGACGCATTCCCCAGCTAACAAAGCTGCCACAGTTAAATCATCTTGATCTCAGCCACAACGAGCTCAACGGGGAAATCCCATCACAGCTTAGCTCCTTGCAGAGCCTAGAGAAGCTTGACCTCTCACACAACAATCTCTCCGGTCTCATTCCAACAAGTTTCGAGGGCATGAAAGCGCTGACATACATCGATATATCAAACAATAAACTCAAGGGACGGCTTCCAGACAATCCAGCGTTTCGAAACGCAACATCAGATGCATTGGAGGGAAACAGAGGCTTATGCAGTAATATTCTTAAACAAAGGTTGAATTCATGCCCTATCACTTCCGGTGGGTTCCAAAAGCCGAAGAAGAATGGCAACCTTCTTGTGTGGATATTAGTGCCAATCCTAGGAGCACTCGTCATTCTCTCTATATGTGCAGGCGCATTTACCTACTACCTTCGGAAACGAAAACCACACAATGGAAGAAACACAGATTCTGAAACTGGAGAGAATATGTCCATATTCAGCGTTGATGGCAAATTCAAATACCAAGACATCATCGACTCCACAAACGAATTCGATCAAAGATACCTCATCGGAATCGGAGGATACAGCAAAGTCTACAAAGCAAACCTCCCAAACGCGATCGTAGCCGTGAAAAGGCTACATGATACAATAGACGAAGAGATATCAAAGCCATTGGTGAAGCAAGAGTTCCTAAACGAAGTAAGAGCCTTAACAGAGATCCGTCACCGCAACGTGGTAAAGCTCTTCGGCTTCTGCTCTCACCGCCGCCACACTTTTCTGATCTACGAGTACATGGAAAAAGGAAGTTTAAACAAACTCTTAGCCAACGAAGAAGAAGCTAAGCGACTCACTTGGACCAAGAGAATCAACATAGTGAAAGGTTTGGCTCACGCGTTATCGTATATGCACCATGACCGATCAACACCGATCGTCCACCGTGATATTAGCAGCGGCAACATCCTTCTCGATAATGATTACACAGCTAAGATCTCCGATTTTGGCACAGCGAAGCTTCTCAAGACGGATTCGTCAAACTGGTCCGCCGTTGCTGGAACCTACGGCTACGTCGCTCCAGGTAAATCCAAATCCCTAAATTTGAATTTGAGCTTATGAAATCCCTAAATTCGAATTTGAAATTGACTTTTCGCAACAGAGTTTGCTTACACGATGAAGGTGACGGAGAAATGCGATGTGTATAGCTTCGGAGTTCTGATACTCGAAGTTATAAAGGGGAAACATCCGGGAGATTTGGTTTCGAGTTTGTCTTCGTCTCCGGGAGAAACTCTGTCGCTGAGAAGCATTTCCGATGAACGTATACTAGAACCACGGGGAGTGAATAGAGAGAAGCTCATGAAGATGGTGGAAGTGGCGTTATCGTGTCTACAAGCAGATCCGCAATCTCGGCCAACGATGTTATCAATCTCCACATCATTTTCTTAGAATCATCTTCATCAATTTCTTCGACGAGGTAAAGAAAAAAACAAACTTGTACTATAGATGTGTTTATCGATGCAGCAGCCAGCAGCAGCCAGCAGCAGCCAGCAGCAGTTAAAAGCATTTTTTAGATAATGGTCATTGTGTTACTCTTTCACACTGTATAACATTCACATAAAGTTTATTTTTCTCTTAATAACATACAAAAAAAGTTTTGGATCACAAGAATTAAAAATCTGAAAACAAGTGTTTATTTTTGTAAATTGAAAGAAAAAGAAAATTCTGAAGTAGGTCGTTAATTTAGTTTTTTGTTTAACGCTACATGATTCGTCTAAACAAAAACCACATGATTTTATCAGAATCTGAGTGACAATTTTAGCCCAAACAGATTTACTTTGTCACCAAACATTTGATTTAGGTTGCTCTAATTTTTGATATGTTGTATCTCTGTATTAATATTACGGAAGTACTTTATTAAAATAAACCTTGCCTCTCATCAAATATTACGTGACAATATTAATGCCATAGAAAAAAAATTAGAACGACCAATTTAATTCACTTCATTCAAGGTTATTAATGGCAAGAGACTTTGAAGACTTTACATGATTTAAAAGTTCTCAAAGTCATTTTTTAACCAATCAAACTTTTAAGACTTTTTAAAATTTTAAAGCCTTTAAAGTCTCTCAGCCTCAATTTACTCTTCTTTTCAGTTTTTTTTTTCTAAAGCCTCCTAAATCGTGACGTTAACTTGAAAAGGAATAATAAAATCTAAACTTTTATTTTTCTTCTTTTCCCATCTAATTTAAAAACTAGTTTTAAGACTATTCCTATTTTATTATTAAATAATTTCTATTGATTAATTCTAATTTTATTTTTTCTGTTATTTTGAGATCCAATTTGAATGTTTTAAAATAATGAATATTTAATATGAAAATATTTATATATTCATTTATTAATGATTTTTTTATTTTTCTAAAGTTTAATCTTTATAAAAAATTATTTATATCATTATTTTGTCAAACGAATTCATTTTATCATAATTTATTATTATAAAAAATATTTAATAATAACAAAAATAATAACTACAGTTTCAACAGTTTTTTTTCGTTACCAATCAGATTTTAACAGCCAAAGGGCCTGATTGGTAACAGCTGTAGCTTTACTTTTTTGCTGTAGAAATATGACTGTAGGTTTATTTGCTGTGGCTGTAGATTTTATTGCTGTAGTATTTTGGCTGTAGAATTTAAAATTTTGGAAAGTTGAAAATTATGTGCTTTAGGAAAAAAGGCTTTCTACAGCCAAAAAAATGAATTAAGGAAATATTTTGGCTGTGAGAAAAAAAAGGAAAGCCAAACCTTCTAAAGCTTGATTGGATGAATTTCAAATCTTTAGAAATTTTTTTGCTTTGTAAAGACTCTAAAGCACTTGCCAATCAGGCCCAAAGTCTCTACATCCAAAGTCTCTGCAGTCAAAGTTTCTACAGTCAAAGTCCTTACAGCGAAAGTCTCTACTGTCAAAAGTAACAGCCGTTACCAATCGGCCCCAAAGTCAATTTACTTTTGAATCCATTTACTCTAATTACGGGTGATAGATCTAAGATACAAGTCTACTAAGATTTCTTTCCTCTAATCCTTTAATCGAATTAATAATTTTATTCTAAACTTCATACACAAGATCTAAGATTTTCTTGTCTTTTTCAATTGAATATACTACTATATTTCCATTTGCATAAAATTTTGCGAAATCTCTATGTTACCACTATCACCTTTTAAAAATCTAATATTTTCTTCTTTTATCAATATAATTGCTCAATCTATGAAGAAAAAATTGTAAATGATCAAAATTTCAGACTTGATTAATATAATTTTAAACAAAAATAAATTCAAAAAAATTCCAACTGAGTAACGGGTCTAAATTTGAATATTTTTATCCATTTCATACATTTTTTCATATTTAGTTTTATATAATACAATAAATTTTTAAATATTTTAATTTGGAATATTTAAATTAGTTTAACTTGATATTTTTAAAGAATATCATAAATTTAATAGATCAAAAGTAAAAAATTCTAAATACTCTAATTTGATTTTTTAAAACAAATATATTTAAAATAATATAGCAGACGGCGGGTTAAATTTAATGTATTATATGATAGAAAGAGTTATGATCCTTATAACAGATGGCGGATTAAGATTATATGATGAGGGGGCCGATTGATAAAGGTTGTTAACTTTGGCTGTAGAAGCTTTGACTTTAAAATTTTCTGATGTATAAACTTATGCTGTAGAGACTTTGACTGTAGAGACTTTGGCTGTTAAAATCTGATTGGTAAATAAAAGCTGTAGAAGCTGTTACTGTCAATTTTTATTTTTATATATATATTTTTCATCATTGTTATATATATATTTTATAAATATTAATTATGATAAAATTGAATTATGTTGTAACATAGTGACAAAAATAAATTTTATTAATAATAACTAGAGTAGTTACCCACGCCTTGCGCGGCCAAGAATTTTATTACAAAAAAACATTTAAATTTTGATGATAGAACATAGTTATAAGATTTTAAAATTCGACCATAATATTACAAAAGATCAAGCATACTGTCTCTAAAAATAAGTATTTAGACAGTCCTTAAAACCCATAACAACACAAGACTCATCGATCATTTTTGTAGAAAATTCCATGATCACTCAATCATCCGAACCGGAACATCTTGAATTCGTAGCGGCCCAAGCATAAGCTATGGAGAGTGTACTATATATATAAATTTAACTAGTATTCTTACCCCGTACTACGTACGGGAAAATTAATTTATGAAGTTAAGGTAAAAAGATATGTCCACACCAAAAAAAGGTAAAAAAGATATGATCCATTGCTTGTTTTTTGATTTCCTTCGTTCCTGATTTCTGTTATATAAAAGAATAAAAGAAAGATTTTTAGAGAGCAACATGAGAGATAATAGAAAAACTTCTATATATTCCTTTTTTTTATTTTGATAAAAATAATAATAAGAATACACATCAGAAGTAGGAAGAAAATTAATATAATAAAATAATAAAATATACTTACGTGAAATTCAATGTATATACATCTTGAATCTTTTGTCTCTCAACTTTCAGAATTTTGGAAAGAGAAGTAAACCCTAGGTTTTTCCAAGATAAATCTTGCATGTGATCGAGGCTTTATAAACAGAGGCCATAGTAAAAAAAGTAGAGAATAGTGTGAAATCTAGAAAAATTGAACTCGGAGAAGAGACGTTGCATGCCAGCATCGGGTTTATGGATTTTAGGAGAGAAACTGTTATTTTATCTTTTGTGTGGAGCAATCTGACAGACATCACACATATATAAATGATAGAATAGAAGTAGTTATTTAGAGATTGCTAGTGAATGGTGATCGTGGAGGTGTGGGAAAGATAGTGGATTTTGTTTCGTAAACATTTTATTTTTTGAAAAAATCTTGGAAGTTGACACATAGGAGGTTGATAAGAACGTGTGGAGTGTTTTTCTATTTTGTTTTTTATTTTTTACGTTTTTTAAACAAATTCTTTTAATTTTTAGTTAAAAAGTAAAATCTATGTGGCAAAATCTTATTGGTCAGGTGACTTGTGCTTTATAAGATAAAGGATAGGTCATTAAACGTATGAATTACGTATATCCAACAAATAATATGATTATAAATACTGAATATTACCGTTCTTTGATCTCTTCAAGTTCGTCAAACTCCGGGTCAAGATAAAATCTAGAGCGTCCAAAATAAACGAAGCCTGCACCTTTGTACCCTTCCAAAAAGAACAAAAAAAAAAGATAATTAGAACACAAATCCAATAAGCTTTATACTTGTAACAATCGAGATTTTAGGAAAACGCATAAATTAACAAACTTTGCTATCCTACAGAATTACTTCTAAACTCGTTCCAAGTCCACGCTCGTTATATTGCCATAAATTCAGAACCCGAACTCGGATGAGCCAATCAGTCTTGGAGGAATTCAAGCGCGAAACATCGTCAAAGATCTTGTACCTCATCGCCTGACAAAATTAGTTAAATGAGAAAGATCAGCAAGCGCTAAATCGTTATGAAAATTAAGAATCTCATAATGTACTCGTAATCAGTATTGAATAAAGATTATTACACCGGCAACCAAAATCGCTTATGCCTAGTCGTTAACCACGGTCGTGTATGGTAGATATCTCTCTCTCTCTCTCTCTCTATATATATATATATATGGATAGACTTAACCAAAGTCATATAGTTATAGAAAAATAACATTTTAAATCGTCGTAATACACACACAATCATAAAAAACGGAAAATATTACGAAAATATTCTATTCATATTTATCTCCAATATTCGTAGTTACCAAATAAAATACCGAGAATATTCAATATAATATTTTAAATATTTTAAAAAAAAGAAATTAACATAATACTCTATATCATTACATAAGGAGAAAAACCCTAAACAATAACCCCAAAATATTCCGTTAAAATGTCAATATCTATATATTCACATATTCATTTAACTCTACAAAAATCAAAAATAGAAACACCTAACTTTTTATGGGCTACTATATAAACATATATAATAATAATATGAAAATTTCTATAAACAGCAAAATAAAAAAAAAAAAATTTATAAGTATATCCTTTTTATTCAAAAAAAAATAGAAAACTGTTTAATAGTATCCAATATTTGTATATATCAATATTAAATACAATCTCGATAGATTCGGTAGTAAACATAAGAAGTAGCTATTATCTTAATACTCTTTATGTTTGTTTGTATAATAATATTATATAGGATAAACTCAAATAATACAAAAATAATAATTATTTGTATAATATGCAATATAGGATAACATCAAATAATATAAAAATAATATGAAATTATAGAACGGTTACAATCGGAAAGGCAAATATCTATATATCTCTTATTTTGTTTGTTTCAAAAAGTTAGATAGAGATTAGCTAATATCAACCCAAAAGATTATCATATAAAAAATAAAGATGCATTATATATTGTTATAGTTGTTATTGATATATATGTATTC